CCCGGGCGTGTGTCCGGACACCAAGTTCGGTGTCAGGACAAACAGGCTTTTTTTTTTTTTTTTTTTTCCTTCTTCCGCAAGCTAGCTGCCAAGATGATATCACCTGTTAGAAAAAAGGGAAAACGGAAAACGGAAGCAGAGTGTTGCGGACTGGAGGGCCGCCCAAGGAAAACAGATATGGAGAAAGACTGCGCGAGCAAGGGAGAGAGAGAGACACAGAGAGAGAGAGAGAGAGAGAGAGAGAGAGACAGACAGAGACAGAGAGAGAGAGAGCCAGATAGAGTGCTCGGATCAAAAGACGAGGGAGAAAGAAAGAAAAGCCCGAAAACAGATATGGAGAAAGACCGCGCGAGCAAGGTAGAGAGAGAGACAGAGACAGACAGACAGACAGACAGACAGACAGACAGACAGACAGACAGACAGACAGACAGACAGACAGACAGAGACACAGAGAGAGAGACACAGAGWGAGAGAGAGAGAGACAGAGAGACAGACAGACAGACAGACAGACAGACAGAGAGACAGACAGACAGACAGAGAGACAGAGAGAGTGCTCAGATCAAAAGAGGAGGGAGGAAGAAAGCAAAGCCCATGGAGAAGGAGAAAGAAAGTAGGGAGAGAGAGAGAGAGAGAGAAAGAGACAGAAAGAGAGAGAAACAAAGCCATCAACACAGCCATCAGTAGCTCGCTTCGGAAATTGCCGAAGCAGACGGAGAACAAGCAAACTGCCAAAAAGCAAATGTGCAGAAGATAGTGAGAGAGAGTTGCAGGCATATTTCAAAGACGGGTAGACGGAACAGTTGGGGGGGTAGGGGAAAAACACAGAGAGAGAGAGAGAGAGAGAGAGAAATGGGGCGGTCTGGAGGACGCAGGGGGAGAAAATCCGCTGCGATGCTTAACCAAAAAAAAAAAAAGGACAGAAATAGTGACAGAGAAAAAAGAAAGTAGAGAGAGAGGAGGAAAGAGAAAGAAAAAGAATAGAGCTTTAGACGACGATGTTGTGAGGAAGACAAATTCTGCCAGCGACGAGATGAATAAAAGCTCCGGCTATGGCGCCGGCTATGGCGCGGGCTATGACGGTTTTTGGAAGGAAGACGAAAAAGTTTCAACTTGACATTTCTTTGCTTCTTTTTTTGGTTCAGCTTCAACTTGCCATTTCCTTTCTTTTTCTTTCTTCCGCTTTTTTCCACTTTTTTCCCTTATTTATTTTAATTATTTTTTCTTTTTTTTACGGTTTTTTCTTTTTTTCTTTTTTTTCTCTTTTTTTTACCTTCTTTTTTTTCTTTTTTCTTTTTGCCTTTTTTTTCCCTTGTTTCTAGGCTACCAGAGTAGCCCGGGGCTACTTGCCCGGCCGGGTTCCCAAAAAAATAAAAATAGGGTTAACGAATTTCGATGTGACCCTGAGGCAAAAGGTGTTCCGTTGATTTTTCTGCATAACATAGTTTGTTTTCAGATTTTTCAGATTTTTTTTTTTTGCGGGGACCTTCACTGGTCCTTGCACGGCCGGACCGCCCGGAAAAAAAAAAAGGTGACCCAGGCGGCCCGGCTGGTAGCCTTGCTTTTTTCCCTTCTTTTTGTTTTTTTGTTTTTATCTACTTCGCGTTTTCTTTTCCGCTTCTTTTCCTTCTTTTTTTCCATTTTTTTCCTTCTTTTTTTTTTTTTTTTTTTTTTTTTTTTTTTTTTTTTTTTTTTTTTTTTTTTTTTTTTTTTTTTGGGGGGGGGGGGGGGGGGCGGGACTGCCCGGAAA